AAGACTGTCACTTACCTGAACTTTCCTGGGGAAAGAACAGTGGGTGGCATTCCCACATATTTTACTTTTGGAGGTGTTGGATATTCTTTGCTGTTGCCATTCAGAATCTGGGCACCTACCAGTCTTGCTTTGCTGGAGAACCTAGTTTGGAGATAAGGTTTGAAAATGTTTGCCTCTCAACCTTGTGCTCATGCCTTGAAAACTATTTGCACCGATAGCTACAAGCTTTTGGGAGGTTAGCTAGTTTGGTAGAGAGGTAGAGATCATGGTGATCAGGAAGGGAGTGGAGAACAGTAATTTTTAAAAAAGATTTATGTATTTATTTATTTGAAGGCATAATGATAAAATGGGAAAGGAAAATCTTCCATTCTCTGGTTCAATTTGCAAATGCCCAAAACAGCTGGAGGTGGACCAGACTGAAGCCAGGAACCTGGACATTCATCTACATTCTTCCATGGTGGGTGGCAGCCAGTTGAACCATCATCTGTTGATTCATAAAGACATGGGCAGGAAGCTGAATTGGAAGGGATGGCAGAACTCAATTCTAGGTACTCCCATATGGTGCATGAATGTGAAAAGCAGTAGTTAATGTCTGCTTCAGCATATTCTCCACCCTGCACACTTTCATTGGAAAAGTCCTGTCCACCTCTGGAAAACCAAGTATCCCGACATTTAGATGAGATCAGATGTTTGTTCAGCAGGAATACCAAGCTGTTGTTTTCCATATGATGAAAGTGTATTATTCAGACTTTAAAATTACTTAAATTTTGTTCCCAATTTTTTAAAAACTAGAATTTTCAACAAAAACTCCTAAATATTAGCTTTATTACTTAGTCTTTGCATCAAGCAATATTTTTTAAATCTTTAAAATGATAATTTCTCAAAGTAGTTTTTTTTTTTAAAGTACATATTATGTGCTAGACATTGCTTCAAAGTACTTTATGAACCCATTTAATGTCCACAACAGTACTGGGAGGTAACCTGTTATTTGTTTTATTAAGCACAAGAGCCTAGTGAGAGAAAGAAAGACCTAAAGATTATATCCTGCTATCCACTTGTTTGCTCCCTAAACACAATGACTGGAACTGGGTTGAGCTGCAGGTGGATTCAGGAACTCAGTCCAGTTCTCCTGTATGGAAGATAGGAACTCAACTACTACTACTTCCTTCAGCTTCAACTGCTACTTCCTTTGTCTGCTGCTTGAGCAGGGAGATGACATGGGGAGCTAGAGCCACAACAAACCAGCAAACTCTCAAATGGGTCTCAAATGACGCATTCAGCAGCTGAGCCGCTAGGCCAAACACTCGTCTCATTGATTCCTGTTTTAGACTAGGAGAATCTGAGGAACAGAGAGCTGAAAACCCTGGCCTGGGTCTGATCTTTAGGGTTTACTGTTGTAAGGATTCTGACTCAAGTAGTCTGGCCTCTCTGCTCTGCACTGCGAGATCTCAGACTGTAGACATCATAGAGGTGAGGGTAACAGGATGCTGGGGATCTTAAGACATTCTATTTCAAATACCTGGTCTAGATCAAAGTTCTTATGAGGTTTCCTATGCTACTACCCTGTATGTAGATCATGTTAGACTGGTATGCTGAGGCCTCCCGGACGACAGTGATCTGTATACCCTGTCTCACATCTTCTAGAAAGGGCAGAATCATAATTATGCCCTGAAATTATATCTTGAACCCCTGATTTCAAACACCATTCCACGCTGCCTCCACATTTTTTGGTGAATTATCATATTGTAATATTCTTACCCAGTCATAGCAAATGTCATAAAAGCTCCTCATTGAATGGTTGGTAGATTGACCCCTGGTACTATTTGATGGGGTGGGAGAGGGTTAAAGGGAAGGGACTGGGAGAGAAAGCCCTGCTAGCCTTATTCTTGCCCATCCCATACAGTCTTCAGTTTCAAATACATCCCTTCCCCAAAAGAACACACTGCTTCCTGCGCATTTCACTCTGAGAAGCCTCCACTGTGAGCTCCTACTGGTTCATTTGGCTTTAAGCACCAGGCACAGAGGGAGTTTTTAACTGCAGTATATAGATGTGCGTAACCCTTAATGAGAACGGATGCCCAAGTTGATCAGCCGACTGGCAATTGAACAGACTGTTTCCTCGGATCCTCCGTAACAATTTGCTTGTCTGGCTAATGTATTTGAATTATAATAACTCCCTTTCTAGCCTCTCCTCCCAATATTGTATGAGCAGAGTTCCCACATGATTTACACATCCAATACAGACATAAATTTGCACATAAGTGCACCCTGGGATTCAGAGCATTCTGTGTGTTTGTCTCAAATTCCCTCCTTGGCCCCCACCCCCAAGGGTTTTTTCCCCCATTAGGCAAATGGAAGGCCCATGCCACCTGTTAGCATTACATCATTGGCTCCCCAGAACACAGTTGCACCAAAGGCCTTAAACAAAGTAGTTCTTCTTGTATTGTTTGCACTCAAAGAGCTGATATCATGCCAACTGATGTCATTGTATGTCTTTGTATAACTGCTATGGCAACTGGGCAGGTGGGGAGCCTCCAGCTGATGTCATTGGCAAAGGAGGTGTAGAGGCAGAATTTTAAAAAGCTCTAGGCTGCTTTTTGCTGTGTGGGGAGTTTTCTGGCTTGCTTTTTTTTTTTTTTTTTTTTTTTTTATAAAATAGTTGCTTTTAAGGCAAGTTACAGCTTGAGTACCCTAAATAAGAACCAAAAGCCCCTCCACCCAAGTCACTTCTCTAGAGTTTGCTGTTTTGTTCTGTCCTCTCATCTCTTACGGAAAAACGAAACAACTGCCTTTTATTTATTTATTTATTTATTTTTTAAGAAAAAAGGGAATTAGTTTCCCATCACAGAATCTGTGTGAAACCGTTTCCTTGGACTTCCGTGTAGGCAAAGCCAAGCAGCTTTTCAGCAGTTCTTTAGAGTCCCTGTGATGGTGACAATTTTTTTTTTTTTTTGCAAGTATTCACTGGTAAAGGGTAAAGCTTTTGTGGTTATTTTTATTTTTATTTTTTTCTACTTTGAAAAAAATGTTACTTTGGGCCTAAACTTTATTGTCAGGATTTTGTGGAAGAGTAGATTCACAGTATATAAGGTATAAGGGTTTAATTCTGGGGTTTAATTAACATGAGTTGAGGATTTTTTTTTCTCTCTCTTTAAGAAACAAAGGTTTTGCCTTGACTCATTTCTAATGGGTGGAGTGGTCCTAGTATTACCCCTTTGAATTTTCCGGATCATCACCTTATGTTAATAAAAATGTGATTTTGTGATGTCTCTGTTTCTCGTGACTGATTTTATGTCTGTCAGCTGTAAAGTGCCGGAGACTCAGTTTGGGTTCTAGTCTGGAATGTTCTGCTGTGGTTAGCAAAGATGAGAACTGGAATGGATAAGAGACTCGGGAACTAGTGGCTAGGGGGAACTTGGTGTCTGACTTCAGTGTGACCATATCCTGTTCACGCACTGCCTTCTGCCTTACCTTCTGGGCCGGATGTGTTCTGTGGTTTTCAACTGAAAAGCATCTTCCATGTTCTCCCTCTTTTCAAGTCAAAGACCAGAGAAGGTCAGATGTGCTTTATTAGACGTAGAGGTGAGCTGCTGGTGATGGCAACCCAGATTTCAGTCTTTACATGTCTTCCTGTCTTGTATGTTTGGCGCCTCAGAAGAACGCTTTGGGATTATCTGTGTGTGAAATAACGTGTGACAAATCTTAAAGGATTATGTGTATAGCCAACATTGAACCCTACATGTCCTAACTGAACTGCTTTCTTTTTTGCAAAGTCCTTTAACTTTTGGGTAAATATTAAATATCTGTTTTTCATTAACTATTAAACGGAAGTATTGTCATTATTTTCATATAATTTTCACAGCTCTTTTGATGACCGTATAATTTTCCATGGAATGAATGTGATGACTTTTGCTTTGTTTTGTTTTTTAAGTTATTTCTGTTTTTAAGTTGGTCTTTCCAATAAAACGATGTTGCTCTGAGCACCTTTATGTACCTATCTGAATATCTTTAATTACACGAGGTGGCTGAGATACAGCCCCATCAGTGCAACTACTTGGTTAGGGGAATTTTGTATTTTAAAGATGGACACAATTTAAACTTTTGGTGTGAGACCTGTGATGCTTGAGAAGCAGAGCAGGCCCTCCAACTGAAATCTGTGTTTTCATGGACCCATTGGAGGTTCCCTAGTGGGTTTGTGTACATAAAAGTCTCTCTGAGTTCGGTACAAAAGGACCAAGCTGCTCTCGGATTCCATTCTGCCAGAAGTCAGAGTTGATATGTCAGGAACCTACGTGGAAAATATCCCAAAAGGGTCATTAGAATGTCTCATGCCGCCCTACCTGTGTTGTCTATTTTCAGCATTTCTCTACTTCCATGTCCCAGTCATGCGAACAGACTTCATAACAACAGCTAATACTTGCTGAGCAATAACATATACCAGGGCAATGTGCCAATCCCTTTACACAGTCATTCATCTCATAGTCTCCTCCTCAGAGCTGGAAGTCCTTGTCCTCCTTTTACACATTGGGGCACCGAAGCAGAGGCAACGGACAAGGCTGGCCATGTCACAGGGCCAGGAAGCATTGGTAGCAGGATCCTAGCCAAGGTCCTTGGGCTTTTCCAAGGGTTCTGCTCAAAACTACTCTGCTGTACCGGGAGCACAGTTGGCCTTTTGGGTTAGATGAGCAGTGAAGGTGCTAGGGAAATGCAAGACTAAGCTGGAGTTCTCTGCCAGAGGGGGCCACATCTTCCTCCTGTAGCTCCCTAATAGACCACTAAATACAGATGCCGATCAAATTTGCAACAGGTAAAATCGCCTGTGCTGTACAGAATCTCTTCTTTTGTCTATCTCCCTCTCTCCCTTCCCATCAATTTCCCTATGCAGTCACCTACCTACTCAGTCTATACAAAATGCACTTGACCTGCAGAAAAGGTATCCTTCTGTGCCAGCTCTGGTGACTTAAAGATGGTCACTCTGGCTTTCTGTGTTTGTCTTCCAGGTGGACTCAGTAGTTTTAAGCAGAACCACGAGAACCTCTGTGACAACTCCCTCCAGCTCCAGGAATGCCGGGAGGTGGGGGGCGGCGCGTCTGCGGCCTCCAGCGTGCTACCTCAGTCCCTCCCCTCCACCCCCGACATCGAGAACGCAGAGCTCACGCCCATCCTGCCCTTCCTCTTCCTCGGCAACGAGCAGGACGCTCAGGACCTGGACACCATGCAGCGGCTGAACATCGGCTATGTCATGAACGTCACCACTCACCTTCCCCTCTACCATTACGAGAAAGGCCTCTTCAACTACAAGCGGCTGCCGGCCACCGACAGCAACAAGCAGAACCTGCGGCAGTACTTTGAAGAGGCTTTTGAGTTCATTGGTAACTATCCCTGGTGGAGCTTTTCATCTGTTGCTTTCCTTTCCCTCTGGCTGCTGTTTGACTATCATCTGCAAGGTTTATTGCTGTTTTACAAAACGAAATGCTATCTTGTCCCCGCAGTGCAACCCAATCACGTTGTAGCTTGGGAAATGCATTGGAGCTACCAAGATGGATACAGAACAAACCATTCCATTGGTTTCGGATCTGTCCAACTTGAGAGTTTCATTGCTCAGGTTCTGAATGTGTGTGTGTGTGTGTGTGTGTGTGTGTGTGTGTAGGGCGGAAGTGGTGCTTAGCTCTGCATGCTCTGTAACCAGGGGAACCAATTGATGGAAAATCAGAAATTGGAGGTAAGAGCTGGGCCTGCTGTTGCCCTCACAGCTTTGCAGGGACTAAATACAAAGTTATATCAAAGGGTCATGTCAAGGTACAATTAACAGTATAAGAAGTTTGAAATCTGATGCATCATTTTTCTTCATAATATACATAATATGCATTTTCCATGATCTCTCACATGACAGCATTTTCAAACACATCTGTATCTTTCTATTGCCCTACTAAGATTTTATTCATCCAGCCTAGGCGGTGGCATCATTTCAAGTTTAAGTTGCAGTTGGCATGACTTCCTGATATGACGTTGGGGTAAAGGTGGTGTTTGCTGAAGGCTTGGTTCTGAAGAAGCTTTTGGTGATACTGTATGGGGCATCTTTCTGCAATGAATCTTCGAAGAGGAAAGAGGAGTAGGGTAGAGTGGGGATTTGTTTCTCCTTACTTGACTTGTCCCAGCTTTCAAACGATGAGAAGCCAAAGCTTATAAATACTTGTGCCAGTGAGATGGTCTAGAAATCTCTATTAGTTTGCCCCAAATTCACACAAGGAAGAAAGACCAGGTTGTATAGCCTGAGTAGTTCTCAAGAAGGAAAATTCTAGCAATAGCAGACTTTAACCCCAAAAGAAATTTGTTATCAGTTCAATCCTGATTTTAATCCAAGTGTTTGTTGCTTCTATAGTTTCAAAATATTTTAAGGCTCAAAGTATGATTTGGGAAAACCAGAACTTAACAGACACTTCACATTTTTCAAATGGCTCCAATCTTTATTACTATAAAGGCATGAGCTGATACTTGCACTAAATCTTGCAACAGATTATTAGGGGCCTCTGTTACAGGAGGAAAACACTCTTTTTTCACCAGGAAAATCCTTAGGTTTAGCAGCCATTGAATCTGATGGGCTTGTCATAGATTAGGCAGTTCTGGTCAGTTTTTCCAGCTGCTTTCTTTGCAATTTGTAGCTTTGTGTGTGTGTGTGTGTGATCATAGGATATTCAGTCTGAGAAGAAATTATGAGTGAGCACTGAACCTACTGCAGTAAAAGTGACTTCCCCAAGGTGGTAGGGATTCTAGTGTCAGCAAAATGACCAGTATGCAGGTTTCTTGACTCCATCTTGACTTCCTAGAATGTCTCAGTTGGCAGCTGGAGATAACGCCACCTCAACTTCTTGATTAACAAAAATCTGAGCCAAAATCTGGGCCCTGAGGAAGTAATATTTGTCAGCAAGTACATGAGGAACTTCCTGGTTGATATGTGATACTGTGACTGGGATTCCATCTGACTCAATCCAGTTGGGGAAGTAAGGAAATTGTTTCACATTTAGTAAGTAGCATTAGATAAGCTCGTTCTAAGAGGATTTCAACTGAAGCACTCACATTCCTTTTGGATTATTCAGGCTTACTTTTTTTTTTTTTTTTTTTTTTTAGACAGACAACAAAACCAATAACAAGCAACATTTGGCCTAAAGAACAATTCAGAGCCATATACTACTTGGGGGAAAATTTCTTATTATATAAACTGAAATCTTATAGTCTTGCTTTAGGGATACCAAGAGTATAGTATAAATTAAGCAGAGCTTAGGTTTAAGGTTTAACTGGCTAGTTGATTTTTTTTTTTGTATCAGTGCTAATACTCAGCCACAAGGATTAAGATTCTATGCATTTATATATCAAAAAATTATACTCCACCAAGTTATACTCATACAAGGTGACTATATGTGCAGTGGGACCAGTGATCAAATTTACCACTTAGCACTTCACTCTCCCATCACCTTCTTTTCCTGCCTGGACTGGTTAATTAATCATATATGATGAAGAGAAGAAATTTTACATGGAAAATGCTTTTTTGTATAACACTTAAATTTTCTTTTAAAAGCTCAGATTTTTAATTTTTTTATTAAAAACTTAGATTTTTTTCAGACAGAAGAAGAGACAGAGTGAAAGATCTTCTGTCTGCTGATTCACTACCCAAGTGGCCACAATGGCCAGAGCTGAGCCAATCCAAAGTCAGGAGCCAGAAGCCTCTTCCGGGTCTCCCACATGGGTGTATTGTCCCAAGGCTTTGGACCATCCTCTACTGCTTTCCCAGGTCACAAGGAGGGTTCTGGATGGGAACTGGATCAGGTGGGATACAAACTGGTGCCCATATGGGATCCTGGGCAAAAGCAAGGCAAGGACTTTAGCCACTAGGCTACTGTGCTGGGCTCTCATGAAACACTTTTATTCTACTTTTGGGAAAGCCTGGAAAACAGTTTGTGTTAATTCCCTACTATTATCATATTGTCCTTTCTTGGATAAGTTTACTCTGTTCAGGAAATGCCCACAAGCTATTCTCCTGAGCTTTGAGTATATCTGACTACTTAGAAGATCTTCCACATCATGGCCATGTGGGAGCTTCATACAATAGAGCCATAGGGATTGAACTTGGCCTTCTTAGGACACACTAAACATAATAACTTTCCAGATTTTTTAAAAATTATTTTTATTGGAAAGGCAGATTTAGAGAGGAGAGATAGAGAGATCTTCCATCTGCAGTTTCACTCCCCAAATGGCTGCAACAAGCAGAACTTAGCCCATCTAAACCCAGGAGCTTCTTCTGGTCTCCAATGTGGATTCAGGGACTAAGGACTTGGGCCATCTCCTGCTGCTTTGCCAGGCCTTGAGCAGGAAGCTAGACGAGAAGTGGGGCAACCAGGATATAAATTGTTGCCCATATGGTATGTTGCCCATATCATATGCCAGCGCTTGAAGGTGGAAGATAAGCCTATTGAATCATGACTTTAGCCCTTGAATGTTTTAATCTTTTAGCCTTGGATCAGGATTTGATAAGACTTTTGTGTATTTATTGCCAGTTCCTGTATAGAATAATGTAAAAGAATTTTTTTTCTCAATCCAAAACAGAAGTTTTATTAATAGCACTAGTTTGAATGAGTCACAGAACTTGGTAACTGAAGTTAGCTTCGTTAACCAGACCATTAACTACATTATATTGGCATTTATGAGAATACTTCAGAAAGTTTATGGAAAATGCATATTATGAAAAAAGTATGCATGGGTTACAAATATGGCACCCAAATGACTTATTCTTTAATCCCACTTTCCATGTAATTTTTGGAATAAGTGGGTGTATGTGGGATCATATGCTCCTTCTCCCTCCATTTTTTCAATGGCATTGATTCCAAGGGGGAAAAAAATAGAGAAAGATAAAGACATTTGAGAGAGTGGTTCAATGACTGTTAAGGTCTACTAAATCCAAAGGTTTCCCAATATGTAAGTGAATTATTGTAGGTATGGTCAGTGCACTGCTATCACTTGTAAGTAAAACATGCCTGTGAGTGATTCCTTCCTTCGCGTTGTTTTCTCTTCAAATGTAGACATCTGCCTTGCTGTTTATAGTTATCCTGATTGTAGCCAGCCAGAGAAGCTGTGGCATGAACATGAGTAATTAGCTAGTAGACTGTACTTGTTTATGAAATAATTTTAACTCATTCTTTCTGTATCCATCTCTCTTGGTTCCCCTTTCACCTCCTGTCTCTGTCTTGGTTTTTCCAGAGGAAGCTCACCAGTGTGGCAAAGGACTTCTCATCCACTGCCAGGCTGGGGTGTCTCGCTCTGCCACCATCGTCATCGCTTACTTGATGAAGCACACTCGGATGACCATGACTGACGCTTATAAATTTGTCAAAGGCAAACGACCAATTATTTCCCCAAACCTTAACTTCATGGGGCAGTTGCTGGAGTTTGAGGAAGATCTGAACAACGGTGTGACACCGCGAATCCTTACACCAAAGCTAATGGGCGTGGAGACGGTTGTGTGACGGGGTTGGATGGATGCTCTTCCTTAGGAGAGGAAGAGAATGGATTCTTTTTTTGTTTTTTAATTTAGTTGGGGATAAAGTTTGTGAATGAAAACAAATGACTTGTTTAAAGACTTTTTATTTTTAACAAGTGTGAGAAGACTAGAACTTTTGATGCCCTGGAGACTAAAAGTAGGGAGGCTTCCGAGGTCATTTTTTTAAAGCCAACAATAAAAATATGAGAAAAATTGTTCCCTCCCTTTCCTTTTAAGCTATTTGTAGAGTTTATGACTAAATAGTCTGTGCAGGCTCATAGACCTAAGATACTATACTTTAAACCAATGAAAAGAACCAAAAGTCAGTAACAAAGACATTTAATGCTGGAAGCCCCAGATGTACCTGGGCCATCCATACGGAGAACAAAAACGCAACCAAACCAAGCACTGTGGTGTTCACTGGTGCAAGGAAAGGATCAGGGCAGCCCACGTGGCCTAAGAACCCTTCACACATTCTTGATGAGACAAAGGACATTGTTGATTTTGTGAGTTTCATGCTCTGGATTTATTTTTCCTTTGTCTGGGTTTAAGAGATTTTTGAAATAGTAAGGAACTGACCATCATGCCACATGCCTTCTACTGGCAGTTTGTGCAATAATATGGTGTTTTGAGTGTGCAAACAATTTAGAGCTGGCAGCTCAGCAATAGAAAAATAGTGCAGATTTGCCAGCTTGGAGATAGAAAGGAATTTAATAATACCAATTAATTTCCTCCCCATCTCCCCTTCCACCCAACTTTTTTTTTTTATTTGATTCTGGTTACAGTGCCATAAACCTTGTTACATATGTATATCAGAATGTTAAAAAAGAAGAAAAATTTATTTAAAAATATTTTTCGCAAAAAAACTTGGCGTGTTTCTGTTGATTGTGTAAAAATTTATTTTCATTATATAAAAAATTAATTTTGGGATGTGTGTTTTATTCCCCTTTTTACGTCAACTTACATTTACATCTCTTACCTTGGTAATGTATACAGATTACATAATTGGAAATGAAGAATATACCTACATATACAGGAAGAAAGATGAGGAAGAGAAAATATATATATTCTCAATATGAAGCAGAGAAAGCTGTAGTATTGGCGCGTGCTGTCATGGTTTCACAATCCTGTCCTCCTCCTTGGAGAGTCTCAGCTAGAGGACAGCCCAAAGCTGTGGGGGAGGGGTGTGTAGCAGGTGGGGAGGGGTTCCCGTGAGCCTTTGAGACCTAGCAAACAAATGGCTACAATTCAGCCACCTTCCCGAAGACTATTTGATACCCACTATTTGATGGCATTCTGGCATGTAGGGGTCTAAATGGTTCTCCCTTGCCTCCAGTGCTGCTTGCTCACTCCACAGCTTTGGTGACATTAACCCAGTCATGAGTGCTTTGCCACCAACTGTAATTTCTTTCTTCCAGTATACTCAGTTCAGTTCCACAAGTACAACTTATTTGCGATAATTCTTGGTTAATATGTAGGTAAGTTCCCTATCCACAAATAATTGAGGTTGCAGCAGGAAAGAGTAAAATTCAAATATTTTCTATGTTTTATTAACACACACACAGATGTTTATAGGTACTTGGCCATCAAGAAGATGTAACAGAAAAACATCTGTTTATCTGGTGTAAGAGTTGAAGAATTCTGGCTTGTCTGAAGATATGTGACTATATTTGATTAATACTTTTGTAAACATTTGCTTACCAGTGGTAAGGAAAAAATTTTTTTTAAGATTTATTTATTTTTTATTGCAAAATCTGATACACAGAGAGGAGAGACAGAGGAAGACCTTCTGCAATGACTGGAGCTGAGCTGATCCAAAGCCAGGAGCCAGGAGCTTCTTCCCGGTCTCCCACATGGGTGCAGGGTCCCAAGGCTTTGGGTCATCCTTAATTGCTTTCCCAGGCCACAAGCAGGGAGCTAGGTGGGAAGTGGGACCCCTGGGACACAAACTGGCACCCCTATGGGATCTCAGCCCTACAGATTGAGGACTTTAACTACTAGGCTACTGCACTGGGGCCAAAACAAAACTTTTTGGTTTTCTTTCCCAAAGTTATTTGTATTTTCTTTTGTGAGAAAAGTGGAGATTGAATTTAACATGGATGAACAGAGCTGTTTGGGTTATTTTAGTTTAGCACAAAGTGCCAAGGAGATAAACGATAAATCTCTCTTATGGTACTTTATACCACGAAAACTAAACATTTCCTAGAAACCAAAGCCTATTTAAGGAGTTAGATTGCTATATAATTGATGGCTTAAAATATATAACAATTTGCTAAACATTTCTTTTTTAAGTCCAAATGTTAAATTTCCAAGTGTGGAAATATTCCTACTCCCCTTTCTTCCTTATCAAATCAAGAAGAATCAACCCAGTTTTACTTCTTTAGTTATACAGGAAAGATTTATGCTTTTGGACATGTATGATGTTCAGAGAAAGTCTGTCTTGGGGCAGACAGGAATCCTGCCAGCCAGCATACCAAGACCTGTGAGAGGGACCCAGGCCTTTCTCACTAACCTGCTTTAAGTTACCCCGCCTCCATTTCTTGGAGGAATGTTAACCACTTCATGAGAATAATATTGATTAACCAAATCATTCCTCTACAACAGATTCCCCCTTGGGTTTGGGGCCTCATTGGATGCCTGGGAGCTTTCAGGCAGAACTAGGGAATAATTGTGTGTCTTTCTAAAAAAGCAGAGTTTCTGACCAATGCATGGATTATTCTTGGAATTTAGTAAGGAATTATTTATGCTGAAATAATTTAATGCCTTGACAAAATGACTCTGTACTATATCAACTTAAAAGACACACAGCGGGCATTTATTACCTTTTAACAGAACAACAGCTCCCAGCCTGTCTGTATACATTCATTTCAATAGCTGATACTTTTTCCATTCACTGCATGCGAAGCAGGATGGAGGGTTCATAGTTCATGGACAAGCTTACACTGGCTGCTTTTGGACAAGAGCAGGCAAGGTGAGAAGTAGGGCAGGGAAGCTGGCAAGTGGAGCTAATGCAACAAAGGGAGATAAAAATAAGAAATGTGTACAATGTAGTAGTCTTAGGGATAAATGAGAAAGAATGACTTTAAAAGGCTAATGAAGTTCAAGCAGGAGGTTAGAGTAAAACAGAAGGGGGAAGTACAGAGCTTCGACTGGGCTGGAACAGTTGACTAAGTATTGCTAAGTTACAAGCTAAACTGAATAAAGATGAAACAATAGTGGCCTTCACACTGCTTGCAGATGGACTCCTGTAAATAAGCCATGGACACTTTTATTTTTTTCCTAAATGTGTAACATGCATTCTAAGGAAATATGGGTGGTTTAATTTTAAGCCCCAAACAGAAACAGTTATCATATGTGGATGTTAGGGTAAGGGGAAGAATGAGGCAAACAATGAATATAAAGTTATTGCCAGAAGATGGGCAATACTGAAGACCAGTCAGGACTAAAGACTAAAGTCAGGACTTGATCAGAGGAGGAAGCTGCTGTGATACCAAATGAGGAGTATTCCAGAGATTAGATTTTAGGCAATCATAACTTTTGTCAATGTTTGGTGTAAGATCTATGAAGCAAGACTTGATCAGAGGCACAGAGAGTGGCCCATGGAGCATGAAAGGTTTATTCTGGGAATTATACTGCAAGCAATTACTAGACCTTGAGATGTCAAAGCAATTACTAGACCTTGAGATGTCTCGCGACGGTCAGAGTCCGTGTGAATCTGCAAGACCATCAGAGAGAAAATCTAGACATGAGCTAGAAAATGGCTGAGAAGCAAGAACTAGGACAAATTAGGACCCACAAGCATCCTTTCGCCAATCTCAAGAAGAGTCTAGGGTCCTCAGCATGGAGTTACCTGTGTCCATAGTATAAGATTTGGAAAAGTGAAGGCCGAGATCTGGAGAATTTTCTGAGCTACAAACCACAGCCACTAAAGTCAAGGTGAGTCACTGGCTCATTGAAAACAGGCTAACTGCCAACAGCGGCCTAGTGTCTGCTTCAAGTTGGGTGGGTTCTGCTTCACTTGCTCTTCTTCAACTCTGAAAACAGAAATGGGAATCTTGGGAAACACACTTGCAGGTTTAGCTAAATGGATAATACAGAAGCTCACTGTAGCTGTTTGCTCACCAACAGGGCATCAATGTATTTCAACAATATATAGCTTCAGAGTAAAAGCATTAGCAAATGACACTGGTAGTTAACAAGATTTCATGTCTATAGTAGAAATCACACTCTTTCCCTCAAGGAAGACATTAAGTTCCTGTTTATTTTCTTCTAGTTGATGACAACATCTTAGTTGATGTTTTGCAATTTAAAATCTTGCGATAGAGATTTTTGTGGGTTGAGTTATATCTGCCAAAAAGATGTGTTGAAATCCTCAACCCGGAACTTTTTAAACACAGTCTTATTTGGAAATAGGCATTTGCAGATGCATTAAAGTTTAGAATAGGTCATACAGTCACCAGACATTGGGAAAGAGGCATGAGACATATTCTCCCTCTGTTACAGCATTCTTAAGGAGTTAAACATGATAATCACTTTTATTGCATAATATATTAGAAGATAGGAAAAATTGGGTATTGTAAAATCAAATATTTGTACGAATAACACTAATTTCTATCACTGCTCCTGTGCTCAAATGTACATGATTTGTGTTTATAACAGCCTTAATTCATTGTCCATTCCTCAAACCCTTTTTCCTTAGCAATTATCTCAATTTGTTAATTATGGTCCCTTGTCTTTCTGAAGCACCTGAAGTCTATTAGCTTTCTGCCATTATGGCAAAATACCCGAGACAGTATAACACTATAAAAGAGAGGCTGATACTGGCTCGCAGTTTGATCTCTGATGAAGGTGGTGGAAAAGAATGGGGGAGCATGGGCATAGGGAGAATCCCAGGATGAGCCAGGAAGCATAGGGAGTGTGGGCCCCACTCAGGCCCAACCCTTTATGGGAATTGCCTTTCTAGGACACCCACGATGACCTAAGGATCTCTACATGGTCCCAACTCCTAAACATCATTTATTAGATTAAGCATTCAACTTCTTAGTTCCATTTATATATGACTGAAGTGTAAACATCTGTATCAATGGTAGCACAAGCCTCGGCCTACATTAGATTGCTTTCCATTCACTGTATAATGATAACAGAAATAATTACAGGACATGACAATGTAGGAGATGTCCTTGAATTCCAGGTATACTTTATTCCCCCTAGGAATCCAATTTTGTTCTAACATTTCAATAGTTCTGAGATGCTGTTGATATCGCCACTCCAAGGATGAGGAAGTCCTTCCAAGGTCAATTGGC